CAAGTACCGTATCACATCAGTTTCCCCTACCCACTTTAAACAATAAGCCAAGCCCCGGAGACAGGTCTGATCTCTGTGTGCACTCAATAAACTGCCATTTTGACACTTGATATTGTCTCTGGAGTTCTTAAGTGCGCTAAATTCACTCCAAAAGGCTCTCGGTTGCAAACAAAATAAAGAAATAAATAATAAAAAACACACCAGAAAACGGCTGTAAATTGATCAATGTGTGTAAGTTCCAAAAGAATAGAAAAGACCTGTCCACCTTTAGCAGAACATTTTCGATTTTCCATGCTAAATATTATTGGCTGTAGACCATCTAATAATATATATCCATTTTGTAATACTGCATACAGTACATTTTGAATCGGGCCTCAAAAGGTGCAAAAAGGCAGGAGAACAGAAAGGCAGAAAAGCGAAGCCTGAAGACTCATAATCAAACAACAAAAGTACTTGCAAAAATATACTGCACAAAGCATGCACAGCATGCATTTATGAAAAGCCTTAAAATGTATGAGCTTTTCTCTACTGCAATCAATATCTACACTGGCTTATGGAAAAGTCATGTTATATTGTCTCCAAGAGAGTAAAATGGACAGTGGACAGTAATAAGACTTACTTTCTGATTTCATACTCAAAATACAGAAAAGTGATCCAATTTTGACCACATTGTACCCAAAAGGTAACACTTCAGATTTTTATTTTCTGCAGGGGGCCAATCAAACTTCACTGCGGTGCTTCTGAATCTAGCTTGCTATTAAATGTCATCATACCGGCTTCCAATTTTTTTCAGTGCTGCTGCTGATTCACGAATTGCAGTTCTAAGGTTTCTCCACTCTGTGTTAAAGCTTATAATAAGGACAGGGAAAACTCAAAGCCCATTCAGATTGATTGCAGTACAGCAGTTAATTGTAACTTCCTGATATATGCAGGCTAAGTGCTGCCTGGCTGCTGAATGTGGAGAGACTTACTCATAAAAGCAAAGTTTATAATGGAATAGTAATGCTGGTTGTCAGGAAAAGAGTTAGTGGTTACTTACTCACAGGGTTCAAAATGAACTTTTACCACACTGGCAAAAGGAGAGTGAATTTCAAGAAACACTCCAAAACAGTAGGTGGCAGTATTGCACCCTAAAGCTGGATGTCGCTTGTTATAAAACGGAAAAAAATATGACAATTCAGTGTGTAGCTACTACTGCCGCACAAAATCGTAAAATCAAAACCTTTTCTCCGTCTCCCCATATTTTGATGGTGATTTTTTTTTTCTGAAAACAAAATGTATGTAAATATGAACTTGACTGATAGCATTATTATTATTATTTTTGTTATTATTGTTTTCAAACTTTTTTAAACATCGCAATAATATTTTTTTTTGGCCAAGATGATCATATATTGAAAATCTAATACAGTGACAGCCCTATTTCACATGTCAGCACATTGAGAAAAAAGTAAAAGAAAAAAGAAAAAAAAAAAAAACAATTCCTTTACGTGTTTGCCGTTTTGATTTTTGTATCTTTTTGTTTACTATTTACATCCTTGGTTAAAAAAAAAGACTAATCACAGAAACTACTAGACTGCCTAATTGTAGACAGGGAATTATTAGTAATGTTGCGAATATTATTTTAACCGTATTGTCTAGTCTAACAGTGTAAAAAAAAAAAGCGAGGTTTTATTGCCATCTTATGAAGCATCAGGCAAGAGAAGCTGAATGAAATGAACATGTGGAAGCTTTGGCAGATGGTCAGTGGACCGCTGAGAGGAAACAGCACTAACATGATAGCAAAACAGATGTGTGCATGTAGGTCTGTAAATGTCGATGGAACTGCGAGAAAGAGATGGCCTTGATACATCGACCCTTCTGTATAGACTTTGGCTGTTGGATGCATTTTATTCTATGTACAATATGTCATTTTAAAAACATCCAACATAAAATGTCCTGAAAGCAAACCTGAGCAAGGCTGAACCAAAAGCACCCATTGTGAAACCTGACAAGCGTTGCATAAGAATCCCGAGATAGCTTTCTTTGCATAATATTACCATCACAAATGTTTTTGTGTGATTGGCTACATGAATTTGTGTGCAACTAGTGTGCAAACATTCCTTTCTGTCTCTGCATATAGTTTTCTCTCATGGCTTGACAGAATCATCTCTGTACACAATACCAGCAGCCCGTTTAATCTGACCAAACACAGAATGTTCAAACTAAACCGTCATACTCCGGTGCAAAAGGAAATTTGGATGACAGCTAATTTACAGGATGCATGACCATTTCAGCATTGAATAGCTACATGAAACAACAACCAAAACCCAGAGAAAGATCTGACTGAAATATCTCCATATGCACTTGTGAATAATACCTGCCATATTGAAACTAACCAGAACCATTTTTTCTATCATAAACTGCCAAATTTTCTTTCCAAGTAAACTGACAGTTTGTGTATAATTACATCCGTAGATAACTTTAGACCTCTCACACTCCTTCAACTTCAAAAAAGTCCAAACATGTGCAATAAAATAAAAAATCTAGAAAAAAAAAAACAGACACAGCTAATGAACTGTTGCACATGTGTGAGCAAGCGCAAGTTAGAGAGCAAAAAATCGTGGAATAGTTCTCCACTAGCAACAGGAAAATCATTAGTGATTCTATTTAAAGATGGACCTAAAAACAAATTATTGACCTCATTTCCCTTTTCTGCTATTCTCCACTTTCCAGAGCATGTGAGCGGAGCGGAGCATGAGCGGAGTGGTAATATTTCCTTAAGAGTGCAGAGCGCCTTTCTGAAGATTCCGCTCCACTCGCTCAATACGCTCAGCGCCACTCGCTCAACCCAGAATGCCGTTTGGTGATTTGCTTGTTCGAGATCAAGAATCTGTAGAGATCGAGAATAGTAGAGCAGTTATGGAGTTCAGATATTGTTTCAACGAAGTTGCAGGGAGAAGAAACTGAGAGGGAGTGCGGGGAGACTGTTAAAGTTAGTACAGATTCATATTGATTACAGAGAGCACGAAGATGTGCTACGCAAACATGGTGCAGCAAAAGGTGCGCTAGTTACATACCATAATAAATGAATAAACAGGTAGGCTAAGGTTATATTCGGTTGTACGGAGCCCCGATCATGACATGCAGACAAAATCACGGCCACGAATTTAGAATAGGCTAGTTCTCTTTTATGCTAGGGCCACATTATGGCCACGAATTAAGAATTAATTTTTTCGTTTAGTCTAAATTATGGCCACGAATTAAGTATTCGTTCTCTTGTTTAGACTTAGCTGGCACGAATTCATTCGTTCGTTAATTCGTTCATTCCCTAGTTTTAGTAGGCCTAAATCGTGGAACGAATTATTATATTTCGTAATTACTTATTAAAATCATTATTGCTTAAAATTAATAAATAATAATAAATTAATAAAAAAAATAATAAAACCTGCTGACGTCGTAGAAACAAATTGTTAATTCAAATTATATTCGGAGCTCTGTAGTTATTAAATAATCTCAGTTAAACTGTAGACCTAAGCTAACACACAGCTGTATATAGGCCTACATACAGAACTACAGAGTACAGAAGATATTAGCCTACACCACTTAGGCCTATTAAAATATTATTTAAAAAAAAACTGACCCGAACCAATAGGTAGTCCTACAGAATGTAGGCTAGATATAGGCAGCAGTAATTTATAATCTAATATAATGCACGCAAATTTGTTCTTTACAGAACGGAGCGGGATCTGAGCGGGAATTGGTTTACGGCGAGCGTGAGCGGAATATTAACGGAGCGTTTGCTTGGGCGGTTAGAGCGACTGAGTGGAGCGCACGTCCATAGAGCGGAAAACGCTTCGCTCACATGCTCTGCCACTTTCCAACCTGACACCATATTCTCAGCGTGAACTGCTATGCTCCTTGAGGAAATATTAATTTCAAATATTTGATTTTATACCGCATCAGTAGAGCCTCAAAGCGTGTCCAAGGGGTCAGTCAGCAAATCCAGCCACATGGTCACTACAAATAGCAAACACACACAAAACTCACTCACACCCACCAGCAGACACATATTCACAGCACAAAAGCATGAGCACAGAAAACACACACAATGCACAAGTCCAAACCCATAACAAATGTAAGCAAAAAATGATGGTCGTCATAAGATTTAACAACTCCTTTTCATGTAAAGTTAGTCTTTCACTTTGAATGAAACAGGTGATGAGTGTTGCAAAGTTTCACTCCCATATGAATGTATTGTGTACTTGTCATTTGTTCACATATTTTAAAGGTGCACTTTTTCATGATTATATAAAGAACACTTTTTGAATTAATTTTGAAAATGCATATGAAATGTTGTAAATCCATTTACAGTCGCCTAATAAAAAGCGGTTTTATGGGTCGCTTAATGGAGTTCGCCATTTTGAGATGACGTGACCAACTGAATGCTACTTGGAAACCCAACTGAATTATCTTGGTAAACCACCTATTATCGAAAACTTTCATTAACAGAATAATATCTGACAGCAAATAGCGCATTTCTACAACAGCATTAGTCATTAAAAAATTAGCATGACATTTCATCCACACCACTAGGTGTCAGTATGAGTCCAAAAGGATGTTATAAGTGCTTCAGGAAAAAAAATTAAAAATACTGAGTGCACCTTTAAGTAGGACAGGTTTGACTGGGTCTGGCTCCACTGCATGCTTATGTGTCAAAAATATGCTTTGCAGAAATATGAAGACTCACTGCTTTAATGTTTAGATAAGCAGAGATGTTTTCTCACCAGGCTTTTCATGATCGCCTTTTATGAGTCCCATTGAAGCAGCCCCAAGAGTGCAGGAGAAATGTGTGTGTATGTGGCAGAAACAGAGCGACTGATGAACACTAAAGAGAAGAGGACCACAGGACACGAACACTGAAAGCACATTTTTAACTCAGAGAGCAAAGAATGATGAGCTAACAAGGCATGGCTGGAATTTTTCAATATTTATTTAAAAAAAAAGTTTGTTATATTTCCTTTTTTTGTCTTTTTTTATTTTGTTGATACCTGAGAGAATCCTTCAATAGCTTTCCTTTCCAGTCTCATTTAAAACAGCTGTGGTATGGACATCATCCCCGCTCTCTGCTCACACTCTCATGGCTGGGTGCATTTTACACATGAGCACTTGTTCATATTCACAAACACAGTCTAATCAAATGAAGATACTCACATTCAAAGGAAACAGAGAAAACGAGGGCTTTGACATCACAGTGGTGAGGGCGGCCAATCAAACTCAAATGTTCAAAAATAGCATGCTTGTTGATTTCTTTCGTTCATTTAGGGTTTCGCATACTGTGTTAAAGCTGAAGTGTGCCATTTCTTTGCCACCAGTGTCTTTAAATGGAACTGCAGGTTTCCAAAACACCCCCCTCTTCTGCTATTGGCTAGATAAAACTGATAGCCCCGCCTCAAACTCACACGATTGGTTGAGCTGTTGCCAGGCCAGTGAAATGTTCTGATAGTGCCTCAGAGACAGTGTGTTTACACTTTTTGGTGAAATCAGCCTAGAAATGGCTTACTTCTAGTAATCTCTGTGTAGTAATCAAGTATTTTATCATATAAAGTAGTTGATTTAGCATATTAAGAAAAACAAATGACACACTTCAGCTTTAAAACTGACGAGTTTGGTCTGAGATTCAGTATCAGCTGAGAGGGGAAAGAATTTCAACTCAAAAACAGTTTTTGGTTGACAAAAGAATATGAATGATATTTTGCTGTTTCTACAAAACTAATTAACATTCTGAACGTATGAAATGCCGTTTTGTTTCTAACAGGTAGTACCAATCCACCGAACCATGAGAGCATTCGACGCAAACACATACATAGAAACACAAATGCAGTCCCTCGACAGTGGATGACATCATCGGAGATGAGTGGAAAGTTGAACTAGCGCCCTCAAATGTTCGTAAGGTTTGACAAAGCAGGTCTCAGGCAGCAGTTAGGGCTATCCTTCCCATGACTTTTACACTGACTGATGAACAGACAAACTGACTGAGGCTCATGCAGTTGCGGTGGGTGGGATTCTGGGAGGGGAGGTGTTTAGAGGCATGTCTGCTAATCAGGGATCATTAACACAGTAATCATGCTATCAGAGGGTTTAGCATTGCATAGACATTCTTGCTTCTGGGCGTTTTTTGTCGTTCTCTAAAGAAAAAAAAAGATAACACACAAAATTTGGTAAAAAGGGGCGAGAAACAAAACTCCACCACCACCAAAGCGAAACAAAACCAGTATCTACTGTTCTTCTCTGAGGAAACTGATTGGCAGTAGTGAGGCCAGCTAAGTGCTTCTGGGTACCAGACATTACCCACCTACTGTATGTCTCTACCAGCAATCTGACCTAACGAACAAATGTATGTCTAGCTACCCTGTCGGAAAGAGCGGTTTGAGTGTGGGGCAGAGGGTTGCGGAGGCACAGAGTTGGATTGTTAATTTAATGGGGCACTTCTTCTTCATATTTGTATTGAACATGCACGTTTGCGAGTGCACAAAAGCACACGTACAGATGTGTGAAGCATTTACAGAGCTACATACGCAGATTTACTTTACAAAAATGGCGGGATCAGACGGCTGCGTTCTGGCCTCGACATCCAGTATGTGACGGTTGCATATGGTTAACACATAGTAATTTAATCTTTCAATATCTTTTCGTTTTGTATTTACATCCTTGGTTATGGCCAAAAAACTTGAAAAAGTACAAAAAAGAAAAACAAAACAAAACACAAGTATTGCACCTTGAAGGCGGGCAATATACGTTTAGTAAGCTGTTTGTGTAACATCATTTTGACAGCACTGTCCACTCTTGCTGGTGACCTGAAGTGAGGTTCTAGTTCCCGGGCTCGGTTCCTGCCCAGTCCTGTCAGCTACATTCAATACCACGAAGCGCTCTCTGCTGTCACGGATGCACACGACTCCCTTTCCAGCCTTCCAGCCACACCGCATCCCGTCCGTTCCCATCACAGCCCATCGCATCAGCGCTGGTGACACCGTTCACAAACGGAGGCTAATGCATGCAACTGGTGCAAATCTAAAACAGATGGGCTCTCGAGGCCGAAGGAGGAGGCCGTGTGCTTCCGCGATCACATGAACGCTTATGCGCACATACACCCCATCGTACAGTTCAACACATGCACCGGACGTATTTTGACACAAGTGCCACGCAGATAAGCACTCCTCCCAAGTTCATTTAAGCTTTGTGTTGTGTGAGGTATGAGTAGATTGTGTTTCAGTTTTTTTTTTCAGTTTCTGTTGCATTATTTCTCATGTTTTTTTTTCTAAGTCTTCTTTCATAAAAAAAGAAAACAAAATATAAAAAAGAAAATATTCCTGTTTCTTGTTGTAAATTCCTCTTGATAAAAAGACGAAGGACAGATACACAAACAAACAGAGCAGTCGAGCAGTACGGCTGTTGTTTTTCTCTCTTACATAGAGCAGGTAAGCATTGAAAACGAACACACACATTTCAGTTCAAAACAAAAAGAAAGAAACGAACAGCTCAAGCTCCGAGATTTGAACTCTTTGTTCTGGAGTCATTTTTTTATTTGTTTTCTGGGTTTCTAATTCTTTTATCATTTCTTTTTTTTTTCTTATTCTATCTCTCTCAAATAAAATTAAAAGGTAAAGCAGCATCGAAACCCTTGCGTTCACTCGATCAGCCAATTGGTGTCCACTGCTGCGTCACTCCTATTCCAAGATGGAACTCCATGCAGGGTGTTTACGGAATGCTCACAGTTCCCCTCGTTCTTCCTTCACAACCTCATTATAGAGCAACACCTCATCCTGGTTCTTTCATTCTGCTGCTCCTCATTCACATTCATACGGTGCTGCCATTCTTTGCATGGCTTGGCTGCTCCTTTGTCTCACAAAGGAAAGGCCCGTTTCAGTTGGGTGTTTGACTCAAGCCACTTCTGGCTTCGAGGGGGCGGGGACACAGAGGTCTATTCGTGAATGAGTGTTTCGTCATTTGTTGAGGACGTTGCTTGACATAATACTGACTCTGAGGGTGTGCTCAGGAGCACATGTAGGTGTGGCCTCTGTTTGACAGAGAGGTTGGGGTCATGTCCTTGGAAAACATGCGACTGAGCTGGAGGGTGGGACCCATCATGCCTTAGTGCAAAAACTCCTTAAAAGGTGCCAGGGGTTGAATCGTTTCCGAATTTTTGGTTCTTTCAAAACTAAGTGCTATCATTCAACTGCTAGCTTCCCCACATCCCCTGCCCCACCATGAAGAAACCAGCCAACTCCTAGCTCCACTTTGCAAATTACTGCTTGGTATTGAAAAAAGGAAACAGCGATAGACCCATTCGGTTCAGGCCTGGCCACCTCAGGTCCTTCATCTTAAGTCAGCGGGATGTATGGTTTAGTTTGCCGTCTGCTAAAAACTAGCTTCCGTTTTGACGGAAATCGAAGTGACACTTGGTCCCACACGAAAAGAAACAAACAAACAAAAAAAAAGCCCATCCAGAATAGTTTTTTCTCTCAGCCCAGAGTGAAGAGACCTCAGAGAAATCTGACAGGCTACGATGAGGAATGGCAGGCCCTCCTGTCTACAGTGGTATTTCAACGTAACTGAGAAGAAACTGTGTTTGCGAGTTTTTCTATCCTGGCTGTTAGTGTGTGAGAATACAAGTGTGTGTAGGTGTGTGTAAATGTGTGTGTGTGTGGCTGAGGGTAGCTGCCCTGTGTCCAGAGGTGAGGTAGAACCTGTCAGCACAGAGGCAGTCTAGGAGCCACAGCCAGCCGGAGGTGTGCCCACATTTGAGGTAAAACAAAATCAACAAAGAAAAAACATCAGCTACAGCCAGTCCGCCATGGCCCGTCAGGAGTATGCGTGTGTGTTCGCACAGACCGGGCAACAGTAGCATCTGAGTGGAACACAGATGGGCTGGACTGAACTCTCAAAGCCCTGCATGGGAGTCCAGAACTACAGCACTGCAGTGCATACAGTAAAAATGAGGCATTCGAGTTTTGAGGTGTTTGTTTTAGTACATTTGTGTGTGTGTGATGGGTCTGGGAGTACGGTAATACTGGCTCCCTCCCGACACCTGTAAAACACACAAATCAGTGCGGATTGGAGGTGTAGGGGCGCCTGGATTTCCATCTCTCTGCGTGACTTTCCTGGGACAAAGAGGGGCTCAATGAGTCCACAAATAAGCCCAGACAATGGCAAGAATGAACCGCACACAAAGTCGCAGAGTGGCACCCCTGAATGAGCACTAAAATGGCGACTGAGAGCTTTCAACGGTCCGTGTCCTACTGAGTAGGGAGGGAGATATATTCTCGAAAAGTCCCAAATCATTTTGAGTAGCTTTATTTAAATATAGTACCTGATTTGGTTCAAAAAATTCCTCCCGCTCCACACACAGGCTCAATATCGAAGAGAATCATGTGGTCTGTTAAAGAAGATCCATGTTAGCGCGGAGCTTGAGATACCGACGGTCAATCTCACGAGAACGCTGAGATTTCAATCAACGAAATGAACTGACCACTTCACGACCTGGCGGAGGAATCTATATGCCAGCTGCCATCCAGTCTTAGCAGAGGGCACCTCCAGTGGTGGCGTGACAGTAGTGCAGTCTGTACGTGTACAAATGCTTACAAGCTCATCGGAGGATTTGAGTCGCATGAGTCAAGCATCTGTAAGCACACATACAGGAGTGTGTGTGTGTAGATGTATATTCTGTGTCTAAGGTGTTGGTAAACCAGTATAAGACATCATGCTGAGACAGAAGGGCCACATGTGGGGAATTTAGTAGATGAGGGAGGGCTGAGTTTTCTGTGAAAAGAAAAAAAAAAAAGTTGTCGACTCAAACCCCACCGTATGAAAGCCTTTCTGAAGATGACCCCTGCCAATGCAGCTGCTGCTGGTGAGTTTGGTGCGTGGAGGGGGGTGAGACGGGTAGAGGAAAACGGGTTACAAAATGTTGTTGATTCTCCTGCCGAGGTTCGCTGGGATGTCACACATCCTGATCCTCAAAGACCTCCAGGAAAAGTGGGGGGAAGAGTTCAGTGGGGCATTCCACCTTCATGTGCAGGAAGCGGCTGGCGTGGCAGGCTCCGATCATGCGCAGGTCCGTCACCTTCATCAGCAGCTTGGGCCAGAAATGAGGAATGTTGTGCTTGCGATAGTTGATGTAGTGTTCGAAGGCTAGAAGGTACAGCTCCTGGCACTTCTCAATCTTCTCCACACATGTCAAGCCTGTTCGATCTGAAGAGACGAACCAGAGAAGATGCAAGGACAATACTTATTATGTGACCATTACAGGATTGTAGCAAAATACATTATTTCAAAAACCATCTAATTAGGTTTTACACAGAACGAAGCTGAAATACCTCTCAACAACTATAATATTTATCAAACACCATGTTCTAAAACCTACTATGCTGCCTTAAAAATCAGCAATCTTGGGCATCAAATGAACACTCCAGATGTGAAGTATTTCCACATTTACTACACAGTGTTTGAAAAAAGCCAAGAACAAAATCAACCAGGTCTGAGATGAATCACAACATTATAAACTGTGATTTGTAGCAAAAAGTATCAGAAAATCAGCAAAAAGAGACAGATCCAAGACTTTTACATCTGTATGATTTTAGGTTGGATAGTGCAGTTTTGAAGCACCATTTGCATCTACTTGCGCAGACTTGAGCTTTCTTGTACTCCTCATCACTATTTTACAGAATTAATGCAACAATTAAAAAAAGAATACATTTAAAAATAGGCGTTTAATGTTTAGGCTAATAGTAAGAGACGTACATTTTAGACACACTATTGTCAAAATCGACTGTTTTTGCTTATTTCATCAATGAAAATAGTTCCTGACATATATATGTCTGAAACTATTTTCATTTATGAAATATATATAATCTTTATATAAAAAAAATCTCTATGGAGATAAGATTTCTTTTAATATATACCAGTTTTACACTCTTAACGGTTCCTGTGGCCTGTTTTGACATTTTTATGTAGCTCATCAGGTGATTTTTCTCTTGCTTTGATTCTCAACTACTTGCTTTTGTTCCCCTCTTGTAAGTCGCTTTGGATAAAAGCTTCTGCTAAATGTGTAAATGTAAATTTCCAGAACCCAGCTCTTGCTCTATTGGGGTTCATTGGATTCTCTTGCACGCTTCATCCGAGGAATGCTGTTTTTGTCATGTAGTTATTATTAACAGAGTTGCTGCCTACATATACATTCTATTTCAAGTTAGTGTGGTGGCTTCTGCCGCTTCTTGTGAGAAATCAGTCTCGAAGTCTTGAGGTTTCGATGCCAGAATAGAGACTTTTTTATCAGAGATAATGAAGCCGAGAGACTGCAGAGAATCTGGCCCATCTGTCTTTGCATACTCTTATATAGGTTTCATAAACAATACATATCATTTAAGTCACTATTGCTTATTAACTTTTGACCCCAGTCTAAATCTCCTCATGACAGCATAATAGTAACACAAAGAGGTCTCAGTTCATCACGTCAACACAAAATCATCTTATGTGTTCTCTTAATGGCAGCTCATCACACACAGTTAAATACATGACTATACATGACATGTTATATTCACATTGATTATAATGTAATGTGTCCTCTCTCACCTGAGCTCATAAGCAGTACGGCCTGCAGTAGGGCCACCTCTGTGTCATCTAGGTTGAACTGTGCCAGACTCTTGCCTAAGTCAAAGATGGCATCAGACACAACGCCCAGCCCTCCGTTCTTTAGCTGCTCTCGTTTGACAGCCATCTCTCCATTCAGGGTCAAGGTCTCGCTTTCCGGGTCATACCGAACTGCAGCACGTAGGGACATAATCTCCATACAGCAGCCCTTCAGCAAGATGATCTGATCCTCACAAGGCAGCTACAGAAATTAGAAATCACACGATATTTATTTCACCTAATGGCATAAAATCTGCTGTGGCATCATCCTGAGTTCTTGAAAAACACTCCTTGAACACATTTCAAATATTATTATTATGGTTGTAAATTGTTTCAAATATTACACTATAAAAAAATTTGTTCAGTTTGAATGAATTCAGATTTTTTCAAAAAAATAAAAAAAAAACCCCAAAATATATTACCAGTATGGATTTCAGTATTGACACTCAAAATAAAATAATTTAATTAATAGTAAATTATTAAAAATAATTACATAATATGACAACAAATTACAGTGTATTTTAATAGTGGGTGCTATGTCACAATTATTAAGCTTCAAATTAAATGAAAATAATGAAATATATTTTAAATTATATAAATATATATTAAAATATTTTAATAATAACATTATAAGGACTGTTTTAATAAGGTCTGTTGTGTGTATAATCTTTCAAAGTTTTTTCATTTCTGACCAATCTTTAATATTAACACAGCACAGAACGAAGTATAATGTATACTAAAGTATAAAGTCAAATGAAATAAATGCATTTTTTTTTAAATTACAGTGTCTTACAAATTTACTTAAATGCATGCATTAATGTGATAACTTTGACAGTCTTAATTATATATTGGCAAAGAATGAACTGAAAGGAAAAAAAAATTTAGGTAAAATGGCAGCAGAGTGAAGTAATATTTACACTGATGTATAAAACGTTTCACATCATTTACAACAGCAACAAAAAGTCAAGTATTGCTCAGTATTATGTTTTTGTTTTACAGTCTGTCTAGGTGCTTGTGGATAATACAGGAGGCATAACGCTCAACTTAGAGAGACAGAGAGGTTGTGGATGCGTGTGGATGGCAGGGTGAATTTATGGTGTAGACAATAATAAATTCGTTGCCATAAGGGTGCTGTGTAGTCTGCTATGCAAGAATGTTCACATTTGCGGTTAAAGGAGAGTTGGTGAATGCTGAATATGGAGAGAATGCCACTATAGCTATGACTGATGTAATGTGGCAATATCACACACACATTCACCAAAGCCACAACTGTACAATTCATCCTAGCATGATAGATAGCACATACATACAAACCCACCCACACTGACAACATACAAACCCACCCACACTGACATATTCCTGAAATATGTGTTAGCTGAATAATTTGGCAACTATTCAAAATAACACAAAAAGGACCGCAGCATATTTTCTGCTAATTAGGCCAATGGACACTAATGTACTCTAATTACAAGGCTTAATTTGACAATCTAATCACTACAGAACACAAACACCTGGGTGTAAACACAGGGTGTAAAATAAACAAAAATAGCACACTTACCTCCGAAAACATGGGCAGTTTTTTGGCAAAGTCAACAACACGTGTGATGGCTGGGGTGATGATCTTGGTAAACTCGCTGAAGGCCTCCAAATCTACTTTGTCCCCATCTGATGTGGGGGCCACCGGAGACTGTCCAATGTCCTCTGGCTGCAGACACAGACAAAGAGTTAACTGTGACTGCAACCTTTGGCTTTTGTAACAGGCAACAATGTATTTCCACTGAAGAATATATGAATGGACAGATACAGCGAACGAGATGCATGTGTGTGGTCTGGCTTTCCAGTTATGTAGGCTGATAGCCTTGGAAAACCACAGCGTTTGGTATCCTCAGGGTGGATTAGAGGTCAGCCATGTAAAAACTCTGGACAAACAGCCAAGTAGCCCTGGCATCTGGAGCTACATTCTATGTATGCAGTAAGAGGCATGTAACATGAGTCAGAATAAAGGTAATTATAAGTACTCAAAAGGCAGAGCTGCAATTACAGCATTACATGCTGGCCGTTGCATATATATTTTTTGAATGCGAGACATGGCTATGACTCATGGACGGCATATCTGCAGTCTGTTTCTGCTGCAATCAACACCTCAGACACGAGAACAACAATAGAAGACATTTACATTCTTAGGAATTAAATAAGCGAAAGAGAAAGTGATTAAATAATATATTCAATTATACATATACACATCGCATTAATTAGTTATGAAAAAATAACGCGATTAAAATATTTTAACGCAGTTAATGCACTGGCCCTGTCCCCAGACCTTTTCGTCATCTTACATTTCATACAGTTGACTGTTGACTAATATGATGCAGGGTAACAACTCCATAAATGCAGTTATGCCCTAAAATTCAAGATACTGGGGAAAAAAATGTCCCTGTATAGAGTTTTTGTCTTATATTTATATCTCATGATAAGCGATATCACAAGAGCAGCAAGAACAATATCACACTTTATGTCCGAATACCACGAGTGGAAATGTGATTTTATGCAACAGTTCAATAAATAATAAGTTAATATCGCGTTATATTTTAAACACAATATTGTCTGTTTTTGCTCAAGTTCGCAGAGAAAATATTACCTTTAAAGCCATAGCAGAATTGTTGTGCGTCACCGAGCAACACAGCGGTGATTTGTTTCTGAATGAATCTGCGTTTTGAACAACTCGTGTGAACCAATGATTCAATAGCCTATTCATAAAATGAGCCGTTTACTTCATTCCTGAATGAATCAGCCGTTTGAACAAATCGAATGAATGAATTACTCAAAAACACATTTAGCGCCACCTGCTGGCAGTTTTATATTCTTAGAGTATCATTTAATTTAAAAAAATCAAACAAACAGTCTGATGCAATCAGATGTTCCAGTTAAACTAAGTATATCAGGATTCAGATATCTTGGCATCAATATTACTAGATCTTTTCCCTCTCTTCTAGCTGCTAATTTTCTTCTTTTGTTGGAGCAATCTAAGTCTGATTTTCAGAGATGGAGCAGTTTACCCTTATCATTGATTGGTCGTATTAATGTAGTGAAAATTAATGTTTTGCCCAAGTTTCTTTTTGTTTTTCATTGTGTTCCTTTGTATTTACCTAAGCATTTTTTTTTTTTAAATCTCTCGATCAGATTATTACTAACTTTTGTGGGGTAGTAAAGCTCCCAGAATTCGAAAATCATTGCTTCATAGATGTCAACTGAGTGGTGGGCTTTCTTTACCCAATTTTATGTTTTACTACTGGTCAGTGAATATTCATAAGTTAACATTTTGGTTCAGTTCGTCCACTGCACCTCGGTGCAGATTGGAGGCCAACTCGTGTACATCAACTTCTCTGTTGGCTTTGCCTACTTCTCCTCTATCTTTCAATGTCTCCTTTTCTTCCCTAATGCACAGTCCAGTAGTTGTAGCTACAGTTCGGATCTGGTGTCAATTCAGACAACACTTTAAATTTACTTCTGCTTCAACATTAATGTCGTTACTGGAGGATCATATGTTTCCCTTGTCTCTTACTGATCTTATTTTTAAGCAATGGCATGCAAAAGGTCCAAGACGTTTTCAAGACCTGTATAGAGATGGCACCTTTTGTAGTTATGTACAGCTTTCCTCTGAAATGGGGTTGTCAGAATCTCATTTCTTTCCATTCTTGCAGGCTAGACATTGCTCTGCTACATTATTTCCTGGTTATCCATCTCTGCCCCAGGTACAGGTATGGGAAGAGTTACTGCAAATTAATCCTCAACACAAGTCACAAATTTCACAAATCTATGGCTGTATGTTAAGCTTAGATGATTATTCACTTACTAAAATTAAAAAGCATGGTAGTGTGAGTTGGGAGAAAGTATTGAAGAAGAATGGTGGCTAGGTGCGCTGAGCCTTCAACTACATCTCAACGGCTTGTGGATTCCATGTTTTTTGTTAAATTGGAAAATGTTAGATGTTCTAAGCCCCCCCCCCCCACCCTTTTTTTTTTACTATGTTTATTTTATCTTTTTTTAATTGTACATATTCAGTTTCATTAATGACAATGTATTTCTGGATATATGACTGTGGTTGAGTGATAGTATTTGTATATTCAGATGTTTGTTTGTATGTACTTTTATCTGAACATTATTATTTTTGTTTCTATTTTATTTTTCTGTTCATTTTTGTAAGAAAAAAGGATAACAATATGTAACCATCTGTTCTGTAATAGTGACTGTTTCACAATAAAAAGTTTGAACCTAACAACCAAACAAACATTAATGGGATCGTTCACCCAAAAAATTTAATTTTGTCATCAATCACCTCATGTCGTTTCAAACCTGTATGACTTTCTTTTGCACAACATAAAAGAAGGTATTTTGAAGATGGTTGGTAACTAAGCTGTTTTGGTTACCAATGACTTTCATTGTATGAATAAAAAATACTGAGATGTTTCTCATATTATCATCTTTTATGTTCCAGTGTTTATTTTAGGCCATTGTAGCCTAAACGTTTTTGTAATAAATTTTATGTTGAATCAAATAAAATATTTCTTTCAAAAGCTACTATTTGTAATGTCTACTATTCTTTCTCATTTAACTTTAAATTATATTTTGTGGGTAATTTCACAGCCAAATTTAATTTGCGATTAATTAGATTAATTAATCGACACCATGTTATCGAATGTTAATTAATTAGATACAAAAATGTAATTATTAAAACAATTCACAATATTACTGTTCTACTGTATTTTCAAATATTTCAAATATAAATGCAGCATAAGACTTTTTTTTAAAACAAACATTTCATAATTGTACCAACCCTAAATATATTACTAGTTATATATATTACTAAATGTTATATATTTTTTTTTTATCAAAATGGTAAGTAATTTTGTAATGTCACAACCAGCATGTGTGTGGATAAACAACCCCATCTAAAAATGTTAATTTTAAAACATATCCATGTGGTGGACGTCACCCCTTGCGGCACAAATGCGACAGTCCCTAAAGACTTCAAACTGTGCAATCACATTGATTTCTTTGTTTCTGATAAAGCAAACAGACAGCAATAAACAACGGCACTGAAATCAAGACAAGACTGCAGAAAAAAAGTACAGTGCTGGCTCACAAACAAACGCTATTCTGTTTCATTGTGAGGCTGTGAGAGCAAAAGGTTCAGGACACTTCATCTGTTACAGACAAGCTGATTACACCCATAATATTACCTAAATTCACCCTATAGCTGATAGGAAGCCTTCATGTAAAGTATACAGATCAGAAATTACAGCGCAGACCTCACAGAGAGGTAAATAAAACACAAAGGAATCTGTTCAGGGTTTCAGAATGTGCCTCTGAGGAACTTCTGCCGGCCGTTTGTGTTTGTGTTTACATGCGCTGTCTCAGACGAAAAGGACTGTTTTAACTGTGCCGCACTGGTATATTTGTGTAAGTTTTAACAAGCATGAAAGTGTGTGTGTGTGTGTCTCTTCCTTCAGGAGGTGGGGTAGCGCTGGATATGTCCCAACGCAGCCTTTGCCTGTAAGACCCCAGTGTAAACTATCCCCTCTGCTGGTCCACCCTGGCCTTCTCACTGCTGAGAACTTGGCACTGCGCTTTCTCACTACAGAGATCTTAAGACAGCCCAGTTGGACTACCGACAGGACGGAGTGAGTGTTCCCATAGAGAGAGAGACTGCAGTTTATCGGGGTCATTCGGGGTCTTGGCCTTGCACTGTTATTGGAGACATGTCTTGGTAGTAAAGGTTATATAGGCTGAATTCTTTATGGGCGGTTTTATAGGAGTTCTCAGCCGGCTGGGGAAGTGGTTTCTCTGTCCCTCGTGGCTGATCGTCACAGGGTCTAGCACAAGCCGAATGTTTAGATTGGTGTGCGTCAGGGCTTTGATAGTGCTCGTAACCGCTGGGAAGGCAGCGGGTGTTTGGTGGGCTGAGAAAACCAACTTTGGTTCTACAATGTAGAATTTCCAAATCAGCCCTTCTGCTGGGATATTGTGCATATGCTCGCTTGGATGTTTGTAAGAAACTGATTTTGTTCTTGCAATGAAAGTAAATGGGTTCCAAATCAACACTGGATCCCATTAAAAAAAAACAGAGAGACAGAAGAAAAACGTTTGGAAAGATATGTGAGAAAATTCCAACAGATTTATTTATTTTCTTTCTCTTAAAGATCTTTCAGATCTTTCAGAAGTCTTTCAGATATCCATAGCCTGTGTTTCTGTGTGTCTCTTTTATTCCATTTTCTCTTCCTTTATCCTGCCACTATTTACAGTGGGTGGTATATTGTCTGAGCGAATGAGCGATTAATATTGTCTAAACTCTCTTTCCTTCCTTCTTCATAAACAGAGGCGCTTTTACAAAGGCCCTGCATGGCAACTCTGCATTCCTGTTATACCCGTGACTAACAGTTGCTTTAACGCTCGCTATTGTCCGGTCACAACTGATATATGCGGACTGGTATTGTCACTCATTACATTGATTAGCAAGCTGTGTAAACAAATGCTAATCCGCAATGACAGAAAAGGCCATAGCGATGTGCTAAGCTGAAAATAAAATGTAGCGAGCAGACACAGAAATGTACGCATACAAATAAAACACAATAATAAAAGTATGAAGTTTTCTCTCCTTTCTACCTAAACATATGTTTTTCCTTGAAATTTAGAAACTACTGTTTTCAAGCTATTATGTATTTCTTATATTTAAATTTTTTTGGAACTTGTGCAAAATTCACTTTTACCGGTTGTTTAAACAAACGTGTGCTCTTTTTTTAATCCCCATAAATCTCAGAACAAGCCGTTCGCAGAATCGGACGTCACATTTTACAAGCCCCACCCATGACTGTTGACGGACACTGCCGTATTAGAAGAGACCCCGCCCTGAGTGAGCCGCACACAATCCGCCATGTTTATCTTCACGCTAGAACATTTAAAAGCAGCATTCAAGTAAGAAATGTCTTCTTATTAAATCTATAGATGTTATTCAGTCCAGAGAAGTAAGTGATTTTCTGCTTTTATTTTATTGTTTGGGTCATATTAACAGCATAGACAGCAGTATAGGTACTGTATATCACGCTGCTGTCACTTAATACACAGATTGAGTGTATCTTATGTGTGTTTTTAACATAAACTTATGTGTATTTGACAGTTTAAAGTCCCCATGAAATCAAAATTAAAGTTTTTTGGGTGTTAGTATCAATATGTTAGTCTTAAGGTTATCTATAAGGCAGTGTGCTCCAAAACAGTGACAAAATTCGCATTTAGAAGATATAAGCATTCAAAGCTTGCAGTTCGTCACTTCCGCCAAAACGGCTCAACGATTTTTTTGACGTCACATCGTACTTCAGCTTCTCATCAAACTTTCTGTCAAATCAAATGCTCTCTAGAATAACGCTATTGGCTATTTTAAAAATGGGTGGGGCTGCTTGATATGTCCTGCCCGGTCTTCCTGTTTCAGTTAAAATGACGTCACCACAGAGAAACGCTGCGTGTTTCTAAGCATTTCAGGGGACCTTTAAGTGCAATAATACATGAAAGAGAACTAGTTAAGTACTCATGCTGTGTGACAGCTTCGGATATGTGCGCTCAGAATACCGTATATCAGAGGTTTAAACTAATATGGCTTTAAATTGCATGATTTCAGCGCAATGAACATGATAATAAAAAAACAAACACATGTTGTTTAGCGGAGTATCTGAGGCATGAGCTGTAAGGCACAGCCCTATTCTGGAAAAGGGGGCGGGGAGCAGCAGCTCATTTGCATTTAAAGAGACATGCACGAAAATAGCGTGTTTCTGCCTCCACTCAAAATATGCATTTTTTAAATTATATAATAAATGATCTGTGGGGTATTTTGAGCTGAAACTTCACAGACATATTCTGGGGACACCTGAGACTTATATTACATCTTGTAAAAAGGGGCACAATAGGTGCCCTTTAAGTAATTTGGTTATGTGCTTAAGAAATTTTGTTGTGTGCTTTTGTTATTGTCATTTATTTCAGTTTTAGTGATTTAACAATATAACAAGGTTCTTGCTTACCAGGAACTTGCGTTTCTGTTTCCAGTGAGAGCCCTGTGCATTGGTGTGGCGGTGAGCTTCTGTCACCATACGGATCAGCTCCCACTCTGAGCTGGTGGGTTCTGGCCGAGTCTTCAGGGATTTGACCATCTCCTCCTTCTTCCGCTTCTCACGGTTCTCCTCAATCAAGCGCCGCTTCGCAACCCGCTTGGAGTCGTCCAGAACCACTACACCAAGGAGAAAAACGGGTTATTTCTTCCACTGGCGTGATGCACAAATCAACAAATCAATTTCAGTTATGGTCCTCTAAGTGGCTTTTCCATTTCCATTTCACTTTAAAGATGTTTAGACATTTTTCCTGGAAAACAAGAGAAATACTGAATAACAAAATTATTCTGAGGTGCAGAATGGCAGTGACAGAACGAGTAAGAGCATCGGGGAGGGATCAAAGTAGAAACGAGACATCCATAAAACATTATAGAACAGAGGGAGAGAGAGGGAGTGACAGAGGAAGAAGAAATGTGTTCTGGGTTGAACATGTGCTGTACATATGTGAGGCATATGGACATATGTAAGGGAAACTCCAAAGTGAGCACTTCAGTTTGTATAAGATTAATGTACATTCGCTGTCAGCATGCATTTGTATATGTAAGGAGCAGGGCTGTGTTCGTGATCCAGTACGGTGAGGTCCAAGCGTCTGATGTAGAAGCTTCTGTTTTGAGTTATTTTCTAATTTAATAATTTTTCATTACAAATGACAACTGCTGATGATCAGTGAACAGACTGACTTGAGGTCCCCTCATGCGTTTTCATTTGTCTGTGTGCGGTTTCGCATGTTCGGTGATTTTGTATGTTATTTGCATGAGCATGTGCGAGGTCACTCACGATCCATGGCCATGCCCACGGCGAGGCATTTCTTGAAGCGGCACAGCTGGCACTGGTTGCGGGTGATCTTGTCGATGATGCAGCAGCCATCGTACTTACAGGAGTAAGAGGGGTGGAGGTTCTTCTGGATGGTGCGCCTGAAGAATCCCTGAGAGACAGAGACAGTGAGGAGGATAAAGAGTGCATTCAGAGGCAGGGAGTCACACAGGTGTTATCTGTCACAAACTGTGCTTCCTGTCCCACATAAGCAAGTGGACTGCAAAAGCCTTTTTGTCCTGTTTTGCTTAAAAACAAGGGGGAAAAAAATTGCCAATAATGTAAGAATACAAAATATATATAATACAGTATATATAAAATGCAATTTTTTCATCCAAAAAAGGTTCAAAAAGTACTAACATTTCAGTAGTCAATAAAAAATATTAGTAAAATTCAGTCTTAATCAGTAAAATTCAATATAACGAAAATGAATATGCTTTTGAATGCATTCCCTTATTCAAAACAAAAATAGAATGCAATACAATAAAAATAAAAATAAAACAAACAAACATAAAAAGTAAAAACTATTTTAATCCGTGTATCATTCGTTGCAATAAATGCGTTAAGAATCCGTACAACTGCAACAGCGGAGGACTATTATTCTGCAGCGTGAAAACTGCGGAAGAACTGATGACGGCACGGTTTGATCTTCGGCTGACCAATCAGCAGAAAGGGGCGTTTAATTCCCGCCCACGTTTAGAAATCGAACATTCAAGCTGTTTATTAATTTTTCTATCCCTGAACGAAAAATGAAAATATAAGCTGAATTCTCGTTTTTTGGGGAAAAAAAATCAAATCAAAAAACGAATGAACGAATGATACACAGATTTATTTTGGTTCCCAAGTAAATTAGTTTTGTTTACAGTAGAATGAAAAATGCTAACATTTCAGCAGTCATTCAATACCACCGGCAAAAGCTAATAGGCTTTTGAATGTATTCCTAGGGAATTCTTAACAAATTAAATCAAAACAAAACAAAACAAAAAATAAAACAAAACCAAACCAAAAAATAATAAAAATAAAATAAAATAAATCATTAAAAAAAATTATAAAATAAAAAATAAACAGAGCAAGTGCAAACATGAGAGCTGAAAAGCAGGTGCTGTCAGTCAACACTTGTTTGTGTACTTGATACTCACTGCTGACAAACCTAGCTTGGTGACATCCCTAACTATAAGGATGCATATCTATATTACTGACAAATAAGACAAAAGTCTGATTAGAAAATGTAACCTTTTTTGCCCCTTTTTTATTGCAGTGATGGAATCTGCAAGCTCTCAAGAGCTCTTCAAATCAGCCTGTTTAGGCAGGAGTCCAAGTCAAAGACTTGCACAGCACAGTTGTCACTCACAATTCACTTTCTTCATGTACAGAGAGACAGACAGTGGATAAGATGGTTGACGCTGTTCTTAGGCTTGTGATTTGACAGAATTGAGAATGATAGGAGTATAAGTTTCACAAATGACAACAGGATGTTTTGTTGAACAGATCAGACCTGCGCCACACCATAACTCTACGTGAGGTGACAGTCTAGTCTGTCTATATATGTGTGGGGCTGAGATGTCTGTTAACACTGTGCACAAGTGATAGCAGAGATGTCACACCTTACAGCCTTCGCAGGTGATGCAGCGGTAGTGATAGCCGGTAGCTTTGTCTCCACACACCACACACGGCTCATCCTTATCCAGATAGCTGGGGATGTACCCTACCATACACAAAAAATCTAATGTTAACTGATAGCAACAAACAAGAACAGACATCAGCAAATCAACACCACAATAAATATGAAATATAAAAAGCTCCTAGCTTCATATGCAAAATAGCTGTTCGTAATTTCTAGATTGTTTTTTTTCCTGAAGTGTCTGTATATTAACTCAACCAATTATGTTTGGGGGTAGAAATCGGGAAAATGTTAGAAAACATGATTTCAAATTTTGTTTAGAGCTGCAATACTGCAGAAATGACACACTTCAGACCTATCTGAGTACCTATTTAAGTCTTATTAACCTTGATTGGTGAAAGCCCTGAAGAGCCCCGAGTGAGTTTGAGAGTGTCACTTGACAGCATTTAAGATCCGCCAGTGTTTGTGACAGGTCTCTCATCTTAAGCTAGTTAACTGCCTTCATGCAAATTTACGAAGCCCTTTCATAGATAAGAAACAAATGATTAATTGCAATATATGCTATTGCATTCAGGAAGGAGAAATAGTCCACTGCCCACTATTTCACTAAATACTGTATACACAACCTTTCAAAAGTTTGGAGTTTTAAAATGTTTTTTTAAAGTCCCTTATGTTTACTAAGGCTACATTTATTTGAATACAGTAAAGATATAGTAGATAAAGAGTGTAATATTATGAAATATTACTACAATTTAAAATTCTGTTAATTCAGAAATCTCTAATCTACTAATTTGGTGCTACTAATTTACTATTATTAGCAATCTTGAAAACAGCTCAGTTCAAATACTTTAGTTCAAATGGTGATTAAAAAAAACAACAAAAAAAAGCATTTATTTGAAATAGTAATATTTTGTAACCATATAAATGTCTTTACTAACATTGTTGATCAACTGAATGCATCTTTGCTGGATAAAACTGACCACAAACTTTTGAAAAATAGCTAATAAACTACTGTAAAAAAAATAAATAAATAAAACTAAATTAAACTAAACATATGTGATTTGTAGGGTTTGAGGGTTTAACTCACTACAAGTGTTTTATTCAGTAAAACTCTTAGAATAAATTTAGAATATGAAATCTAATGTTTGATTAATTTTCCAATTCATCCATATCTGTTTTTAAATCCGTACAGGACAGTTTATTTTATTTTATTTTGTCTAAAAAAAAAAAAAAGTTCCAGTTTTTACAAAGCTGAACCTAGCTATTTTTCTTCCGGATTCACCATTCTGAAAATTAAAATAGGCGAAAAGAAAATGAAAAATGTTTCATTAATATCTGCAAAGGTTACCAGCAGGTGGTGCAAAAATGGGGCTAAATAAAAATTCAGACTATGTAAAGTAATGTAAAGTATGGCATTTTTATTGGGATAGGTTTAATAGACTTGTTTTAAGCTATCATTCTTTTTTAACAACATACCCTTTGAGAAAAATGAAACACTAAACAGCAGTGTAGGTTAGTGTGCAATGGCAAATCTTGCTTCAGCGTCTTTCTTTCCCAAGTGAATTATGCGACAGCACCAGTATTGGAAAACTAAAAGATTAGAGACAATTTTGGGACTAATCTAGTTTATTTAACTGCTGTGGGCATGAGGTGAACGAGCATAAAAGTGCAGCTACTGGAGGCCTGATGGGTCTTAACCAAGCAGAGATGGGGTGAGTAAATGTATTGAACTTCCTCAACTGAACAGCCTCTCCTTACACCAATACAAAGTCAATCCTTAAACACCCCTTTAGCCTGGGAGAGCGATCGCTTTAACATGAGTTATGATATCCTAAAGGAGGATCAGAACATCACATAACAACAAATCTATTGAGCTAACTGATGCTGGAGTTGATGTGAGGAGGATCACGGGGCAACTGGAAACCCTTCTCTCCCCTCTAGGACTCTCGTGTGTTTCTCAGAAATGTGCAGTCAGTGATGCATTCTGGGAGGACAGAGGAGTGATAAGCATACTGCTGCAGCTCGGCAAGAGCATCTGTGTCTTCTGCGAGACATCTTACCAGACATGCTCTTCACCGAACACTGGCTGTTCTTTCTCTTCCTTTTCGGGCCATCGAGCCACCTGGAAAAAAAGAGCAGAGAGACAGAGAGAAAGAGGTTGGTATTAGTACATTCCACAAAGATGGCACACAGGAAGTCTTTGTGGTGATTTGATGTCTGCAATTCCCTGTGGTATCACTTTATATTTTTAACCAGCACACATTCAGCTCCAAGTGCTCCAACAACATGACAATCCTGTCATTTTGATTTGATGGAGTGAGGATCACAAAAAAGAAGATCGCAAATACAGGCAACCGTCAGAGCCACGATGCACGTGTTCCTGACACGTTCATGTCCCGACTGCAAAAGGACCGAACCCATTCCACTTCTCTCTTTTCAATAATTTCCTGCAACTTTCTAATCATATCTAATCTAATCTAAACTAACATAATCAAGGTTGGTCTGCACTCTAAAATCTTTTTATTCGAATCAAACAGTAGATAAAATAGACAAACATTTCGGCTGTCTGCCTTAGTCAGTTTGACAATTCTTTGTTTCTCAATGATTACATAACAGACGACATACATCAGGTGATTATAATTAATCAATCAACTCACAGACTCCACTTTAACATCAAAAACTACAAAGATAGGCATTGCTGATGTTTTATTTAAAGACATGTTACCTTTGGGTTTAAATAAGGATTTTGACCATTGATGTTTTTTGTAATTTTTTTGGGGGTACAATGATTATGAACAGCCTTTTTTTGCCTGATGTGCTATTGTTCCCATTAATTCGTTTTAATATACATTAATTTTAAAATACCTAAATATTAAATATTAATATGAACATACCTAAATTAAATGATAAAGGCCCAAAGCACAAGAACAAAAACAGTGATTTAGCATATAGCGAAAAAGCAACCGGATGCTGTCGATTTCCAATAATTCCCAATAATAATAATTATTAAAATAAAAAGATTCCCTAATATTAAAAATTTCAATCATTACAAAAATTCCCAATAATAATAATAATAATAAAACACCAAACAATCTCAAAACAACAATGATTTAACCACTATAAAGCATCATGAAATCCTTTTCAATGTGATTTCGACAATTAAAAAAAATTAAAAATAATAAGTCTTAAAAAGGCTTATGAATATTTTATAAAGAAGTCTTACTCTTCATTAAGAAATAATAACAAAATAAGGTTTAAAAATTGTACAATAATATTTTAATTATATAATTATATTCTTTGAGTAATACCCAAAACTAAACAAAACTATAAAAACCAAACCAAAACAAAACAAAAGTCAAAACTAAACACAACACAACAAAACAAAACAGCCCACCAATAACATCAGGTCATCCAGCAGTAGGAACACCCACACCGACTGAAGAGGCAAGAACATTGACACAGACTTTCAGCACTAAAATGACTGAACATCATTAATTAAACAAAGAGTTGCTGATGTAACAAAGATGAGCAGGGCAAATGAGCAGTGATGCAATGCGGCAACTACCAATGAGACACCAGACAGTGATCCGAATTGTACAGCCGGACATCGTGGTTTAACAATACAGCCACTCTACGACCTCCAGCAACATATACATGTGAACGTCACAGTCTCCGGGTACATCGAGTCTGGCTGTGATTAAAGGGCTGGAGTGGCTCAGCTCTATGCTGGGAGAAAGACAGCAGAGTTATGTAACAAAGTGTCCAAATAATGCAAGCAAATCTGTTAGCATTCGGTGCTAGTCTCTCAACACCTCTTCAACACCTTTGCCGTCACTAACGCAAATGCTAGACTCTTTAAATATACATCAAAAAGAGTTTGATTTCTAAACGGCGAGCTGTTTTAACTCCACATGATACCAATAAGAGTGTATTAGCAAGATCATGAGCTGGATTTTGAAAGGCATAAAAATTAATTTAAACATCAAAAGCTGTAGAGGTAGACGTCTTTCAGGTTACATAACAGCTCCTGTTATGCTTACAAAAATACTGTGGAGGGATAGCATCAGGTAATACAATAATACTGTAGTACTTTGATATACAGCCTCAGTTCATGTATTTATGTGCTATTCTAAGAATCCCAATGGTACTTTTTGTTAGTGTCTCGAGTTGCCCTTTTCTCATTTGATAGAATCTTCTGGAAATTACCAAGAGAACACAAAATAAGGTTCATGTGATGTGCACCCTTAAGCCATCGTGATGTCACACACATAAACACAAAGAAGGCCATCTTTGTTCAAAGCCATGGGGAAAAAATATAAAAGGTTCAAAGTCTAATACTGGCTTGTGTTCTTTCGCTCGTCATATTGTTTTTGTCATATGCTGTATTGATTCTGCAGCTGTGGAACGTCATTTATGAATGTCATTTAATATGTCTGACTGAGGTTCAGTGAGGACGCAGAAGCCTCTAGACTTTTTTCTCTCTCGTTCTCTCGGGCACACGGAAATGTCACTCTAAAGCTGCGTTGTCTTCGTCACAATCACTCTGATTTGCTGTCGTGGATGGTTTTACCAATACAACTGTCAATCATCTGCTGTCCTCATGAGAACCTGCTCGTCACAAAGAAAACACAAAGAAAGCATTGCAGATTTCACATTTCAGACAGGCAACACACCTCAAGTAATCAATACTGAATACAAGATTCATTTAATCCCAATTCCATCATGGCAAAAGCAATGTGCAAATATCCCTTGAGAAAATAAACATATTCAGTGCCATAGAAAGATGGGCAGACAGAGGCATAAAGAAAGATAAAGCAGCAAGGGCTTTTTTTTTCACTCTGACACTTGCTATAAAAAGAAACCTCAGAGGATTCTGCCTAGTCAGAAATGGATGGGAGGGGTAAATCAAATAAATAAATAAATAAATAACAGCCACTTGCTCTCTGCAGAAACATCAATTATTCCGGATCCAAATGGAAGAGCTACACAACTTTCCCATTAAAGGGACAGAGGACAACCGCTGTAACATCTGAGAGGACAGGTTGCAGCTTGCGAGCCGGGACTGAGCTTCTATCATTTTGCGCACAGAGCGACGAACAACCGGATCATAATCGGTCCGATCTGATGATACTAAAACAGATTCTCATTAAATTCTCAGATGCAGCAGCATACATGATTCAGAAGTATCAGAAATCTGCACGTTGAGATAGAATCAGTCGACCGATGCAACACAGAAGTTCCCAAAAAAAGACGTCCACAGACAGGAACCTGAGGGTTTTGAAGTAGACTGTGAAGAGACCCATTCTGGGTTTTCCATACTTTTTACCAATGAATTACCATCGGTAATGTCTTTTTTATGATTTTTCCATTCATGCTCATGTTTAATAATATTAATAGTAGTAATTATAGTAATAAACTACTACTATTATTAATACTACTAATAATATTGCAAATGATAAAAATAACAACAATAAAAAACTACTACCAATTATAATAATAACAAAAATGTTATAACAATAAAATAATATTATAATTAATAAAAATAATTTAACAAGTAATTTTAACAATATAACTAATATTATAAAAAATATTATGATTTACAATGCATTTATAGAGATTGCACAGATTTCTAGTTGATGAAATAATTTAAATCTTAGCAAAAATTGAAACATTTATTCCATATAGAAATTTTATGCATTGATTTAGAATGCTTTCTCTAAATTGATTTCCCTAAATTTTCCTGGTTGAGATATCAATTTCAAATATTAGCAATCTTTCCATGATCGTGGTAACCTTGTTAACACCGTTACGAAAGCAACATGACTAGGCTTGTAGAGCGATACAGGTAGGAGAAGCGTCTCACCTGATAACGTAGTGGGATTGGAGGATGTGCATGGTGAAGACGAAACGCTCCGCTGGTCTTCAGGATTATAACTCTTCACCACATCAACGGAGCGAGCCGTATAAACACACTCTGACAATTCTCTTTGATGCCTCTCTTGCATAAGTGCTCTCTCTCTCTCTTGCTGTCGTTTGGCAACCCTCCCTCTCTTTTTTCCCCTCTGCCCGCTGTCTCTCTAACTCTGAATTTCCCAACTGTTCTTTACGAATTTTTCTAAGAATCCCTTGTGAGAGATTGTCTCTCTCGCTCTTAATCCCTTCCGTGGCCTGTGATTGGGTATTGTGATCTCTCTCGCGGGCGGTAATCCAGGGTTAAGAGCGAGAGATGGTGAGATTGGGTGAGCGGTGTGATAAAGCAGGAGAGATGGAGCCTGAGATATGCCAGTGCCCATAAACATGCCAACTGGTTCTGTCACCTCCGGTTATTTTAACCTTTATTTACTCCGTACCCCTGTGGCGTATTTATATCCAGCGAGGTTTCATTCATCCTCTAAAACAAGGCAAACACAGTACAAGCAGTGACAGTGGGTTAATTCAGGGGAATAATATAAATAAATAAAATGACGGAGGGAGTTTGGGGAAAAAAAGAACCATCACATTACACTACCAAAGTTTGAGAGCTCAAAACTCCACCCTGAATTTAGATGCACAGAGGTACATTATTAAGATTACAAAAAAAAAAAAAAATTACAAAAAAAATTTAAATAAATATATATATATATATTTAAAAATCTCTTGTACGCACATCTAGGCTGTATTTATGTTATTAAAAAAATACAAGATTTACAACATAAAATAACTGTTTTCTAATTTAATATATTTTAAAATGTATTCTTGTGATGGCAAAGCCATTACTCCAGTCTTCAATGTCACATCTTCTAAAATGCTGATTTGGTGTTCAAGAAACATTTCTCATTATCATCAGTGTTGTTGTGCTGTTTAATACTTTGATACTTTACAGGATTTTTTGATGAATAGAAAGTTATAAATCTCTTTACTGTCACCTTCGATCCATTTAATGAACCCTTGCTGAAAATAAGTATACATTAAATAAAAAAAAAACCTGACTGACACTTGTTTTTGTACATGTGTTTGTAAAGACATTTCAAAGACATGCCAGGTAAATCCAGTTGTAAGGGGATTGAATTAATTATTCCCAGAAAATGAAGTGCTGAGATCAAGGCTTTGCTTTTTAAGAATCAGTAGCGGAGCGCGGCGTGA